CACCAGGCTGTGATGAAACTCCTGTTATAACAGCCCCTGCTTTCTGCCCTCTCATTTGGATTGCAAGGCAGACTTTCTTCCTCTGTTTTGTTATTCCTTTAATCTTCATCAAACCAGCAAATGCTACATATACTGATGCCACATTGTTTTATTAAAAAGCAAAATAAAAAAGCAAGCACAAAACAAAACCCAAACCCACACATCATCTCACAGCATGACCCCAAAGACTGAGGAAAGAGAGAGAATGAATGGGTTCTAGTAAAATGTGTGACCATCTTGAGAAGACTTTCAATGCCTATCTTAAATGTCTTTTCACAGCTTCATCTTGGAATCTGTCAACTCCATGTATTGACTTGGAGGTTCTTGATTTAACTACAACGTGGCCCTTAGAGATGGCCTGGTTGATTCCGAAGCTTGCCAATGGACTATGCCATCTAACGGTCTGAGTTCAAGTCCAGCAAAGCTCAGAGTGTTTTTTTAAAGCCTTGGAGATTTTTGCATGTAGTTGAGTCCCTGTTTCCAGTGGGAAAGGGCCTACACGTGAACCAGACGCAGGCAAACTACTGATAGCTCCTTTCTGGTGGGAAATAAGGCAGGAGTTGTCATTTCCGTACAGCAGGAGGTGAAGCTAAAGCTCAGGGCAATTTATTTCCAGAATCTTTATCCTGGTCTGGATCAGAGCTGGGACAGTGCCAGGAGGCCTGACTGCCACGCCAGGCTCTTCCAGGAGTGATGATACCACAGGACCATAGATGACTGGGATTTCAAGGGACTGATCCATCTCAAAGCCAACTTCCAAAGTAGATGAAGTTGCTTGGAGCCTTGCCCATTGCGAAGACAAGTTATGGCTTGGGTGATGCCAAGACAAAGCCCCTCAGTGAGGAAACCATGGATGGTAACGAATTCTCTGTTCCTGCAACATCTGCAATCCTCCAGGCAGCTAAAGGAGCCTCACGTTGTGCCCAGTTCAGCTGCTCTGGTGCCCCAGAGGGCTGTTTGCCATGGAGTAGAGGAGCAGCTGGCTGCACTGTGAGAGATGTCTGTGTTTTCCCAAGACACCCATTGTCTGTCTGCAGCACCAGCCTCCACCCTACTTGCTCACTCAGCCGTGGCTGATGTGTCTTTAATTAAAGAGGAGAAGCAATTTGAGATTTTCTTTTCTTTTCTTAACCATATTTCCTATTTCCATCAGAGCTTGCAGGCCTCTCCTGCCCTTATTTTTGTCCTGTAGTTTTACTGGGGGACCTTCAGTTTATGGCGTGTCTGCTCTAAAATAAGAGAGAAATAGGCAAAAATAGCTTGATTTGGGACAGGGAATTAAGATGCTGGGTCAGATGGCTGCTGTGGTCATTAGCATATTTACATTTTTGCTGAAGAGCCTAGCTGAGGATCAGGGGAGTTAAGGATGATTGTCATTGAAATGCAGAGGAAACCTTGCATGAAATTGCCGTTAGTGTCCTATTGTCTTGGAGGCTGAGGGGGGGCAAATGGCTTTCTTCATCCCTGCACCCCTTGTGTTGGGCTTGTCAGCCCAAGTAGCTGGGCAGAGGCAGAAGTAGCTGCTGCAGGAAGGCACTGTGCTGAGTTAGCTGCTGGGAGGCTTTGCCTGGGGAGCTGTGAGGCTCAGCGCAGCCACGCTGCTGGCTGCCAGTCAGCCTCTGGCCTCACGGTGACACAGAGGTGGTCAGCTGGGCATGTGGGACAACTGACCCTCAGTGAGATCACCATGGATAAATACATGAAGCGTCTAGCAAAGGTCAGTTGTCTCTTCTATAACTGATGGACCCAAGTGTTTTGAGTGTGCCATTGCATGTTGGTTTTGCCATGTGTGGGGACACGTGTTCTGCAGGACTAGCTCAACCCCTTGATTTTTTATGGCTAGCTGTGATACCAGAAACAAGGTGTGAGGCAGTTGGGGGTGTTGGTGTGGATTTTGAGTGTTGTGATGACAGATGAGATTTTATATGGTAAAAAAAAAATATTTAAACATAAATAAGAGAACTCCCTCACAGCTGGGGTTTAGGGTAAAACAGGTTGTAGAAGCAGTGCTCTAGTCCTGCTCTGAGGCGGGCCTTTTTAGTTCAGATGTTACTTGTTCATTGTTCTCTTACTCTTTCATGCTGTTCAGATCCACTGTTTTAATTCAAACCCATTTCTAATTAGTACCTTTAACTTAGTGCCAAACCCTAAATTGTACATGCTAACATGAAAGAGGAGGACAGGTTCCCTGGCCTGTTTACAGTTCTGAAAGTACTAGCTACCTTCTGCTACTGCTTTGATTTTGGTGGGACAAGCAGCAAGGCAGTGAATTGAAGGAGGAATGCTGGTGCCTTTTGGTATGAGAAAGAAGCATCCTTGGAGCAGAGGCTCATTTGCAGCCACCAGACAGGTTTCAGCTGTCTGTCCATTTGCAAAGCCAGCAGCAGGTATGGACAGTACAGTCTTGAATGATGGGATTGTATCAGCTCTAGCAGTGGTGAGTCTGGAGTCAGTGTGTCCTTCTGGGCTGGTTTGAAGCTGACTGTGTAATTTTTGTTCTTGGTTACAAAATGTTTCTTTTTGGAATGCTTTAAAGCAGAACAAAGTCTAGAAAAGTGGTTTGTGATCTCAGCAGCCCTTGTGTGCTTCAGCTCTGTCTTTTCTTGCCCTTTGAAGGAATAAGTATTAGCCACCTTCCCTATGGCTGTGGCCATTGGTTTTTCCTACAAAACAATGAGCACACAACATGGGGAGAATCCTATGCTTCAGTCACTGAACCTAGCCCTCAAAGCAGGGAAGCATTTAAGCCCTCAGGGAGCAAATGGATTTGTCCTGGACAAGATAGATTCTAACATCTTAAATGTCAAGATAAAGTGGTGCAGTTAAGTAAGATGTTTGTTAGGTCAACTGTTTTCAGGGAAACAAGAGTGAACACAGCAGTATCTATGGGATTGCAGGTGTTAGATCCATTCACTGAATGACTCATCTCCCAGCTTCTGCAAATTCCCCTTAGAAAGGTCATCTCAGGTATTATGCTAATAATACTTTATTTCCTGGGTATCTGTGCCTCTGGGATTGAGCACTGCAAAACTTCAAATCAGGCTGGCTTGGGAGTCCCATCAAGAGCCAAAAAAAGCATCAGAGCTGAGCCTGAGTGCAGAAGCTCTGATTTTGTGGTTGGTTTTAGAATGTGATCTGTTAACTTTAGAGTGGGCTGGAGTAGGGGAGTTAAACTTACCCAGGGATTAATATTAAGCCCTTGTTTAACAGCAAAGAGCTGATGAAATCCACCTTTGGCTCGGAGGGCCAGCTGTCAGGAAGGTACATCCAGGCCACCTTTCAAGGACAGAACAGCTCTCGGCTGAGGCTGGGGAAGAGTGCCCAGCTCTGACTGCCCACAGGTCACTTGGTTTATCTTGTTTTGTGTAATCCAATTGCCCCAGCAGCTTCTTCACCGAGGGGCTGCTGCTTGGACAGAACAGCAGACCAGCTCTGCTCCAGCCAGGGACTGTGACCTCTTCTCCTTAGCTTAGGCTCAACAAAGCAGCCGGTGGTAGCAGAGTCCCCAGGAGCAGCAGGACAAAGGTGCTCGGGCTGGAAGAGGACAGAGCCAGATCCTCTCACATGGGCACTGCATCCCCCCAAACAAGCTGCCCGTGCCTGAGGCTGGTGTGTTTAACAGCAGAGCAGTGCCAACCCTGCTGCTGGCAGGTTGCAGCCTCTGCCACATCCCCCTTCTCACCTCCTCCCTTGCCAAAGCAGCCTTTACTCTGCTGCATCTGATCTGAGGCCCGGCGCCTGTTCAGCTTTTGTTCTCCGTTAGGATAGAACCAGGACTGTCAGGACCTCTTTGGCTCTGCCAAGGCCTTTTATGTCCCAAATGTTTCCATGAAAAGACTCCCTCCTGACCACCCTGTCCCCTGACAGCCATTCAAACCAGCCAACAAGCTTGATATCATTATCTACAAAAGGAGGCCAGCGAGCACCAGCGTCCTCACAGCCAAGTTTGGGAAATCAAAGGCAAATCTCCCAGCAACAGAGTGCTGGCAGAGATCAGACTGTACCACATCCAGTGCGGGCTGGTCTGGCAGCTTCCTCTGCTGGTTTTCAAAGCACAAAAGCAATGTGCTTGGCGTGGGGCCAGCACTGGCTTGGCTGGGTCTGGGGCTGAGCCAGCCTCTGAGCTGGCAGCCCCTCACAGAGTGCCCTGGGGAGCTCAGTGGGGGACAGAGGCCGCTGGAAGCAGTTGTGAGTTAGAGCAGCCTTGCAAAGCTGTCTCCTTTTGGTCAGTGGTATTTTTAGATTAACCACTCAGTTTGAGGGGAAAATGGTGATGTTATTGTTCAGAGTGGGGTTCACTCCAAATCTCACCTGGGACTTTCCTGTTAATGACTTTGGTTTATGTTCTGAAAATGGCATGTTGCTGCCTTGCCACTTCTGGTTTGAAGTGATGTTCATCTGGTTTGTTCCCTGTTCAAAGACTTTCTTTCCAATCCATCTTAAGATAGAGAGCTCTTCAGCAGTGAAAGCATGTAACAATTTGAAGGCACCTGGAAAGGTGACTGAAAGAACCACTGAGTGCAGAAAGGGCTTGAGGAGGGATGGCATATTCTTCTGTTACAATTGTGTTAGGAAATACAGGAGTAAAACTGTTTTCAGCACGTATTATCTCACAGACTGCATCTCTGGTTTGCTTGATAGCCCAGGTAGGGATATGAAAAACAGCCAAGAGAAATGATGATGCAGAGGGAAGGAAGTTGAAGGGAGCAGACTTAGCTGAAGCTTGGGTGGAGACGGCATGATGGTATGGATGAAGGTGCCTGGTTCACCCCTCTCTGCAGCAGGGTGCTTTGGGCAGTGAAAGGAAGCTGGATATGGGGTTATTACAGGGGAATATGTCAACAAAACCTAGAGCAACCCCTGGGTCCCTGTGTGTCTGCAGCAGGTGATGAATGCATAGGAGGGCAGAGTTGTGTGTAATGTGGAATAGTTAATTCTGGCATTTTCCCCTCCTATCCCAGTTTGATCCTGACAACACCGGCTACATCAGCACTGAGAAGTTCCGCTCCCTTCTCCAGAGGCACGGCTCAGAGCTGGACCCCCACAAGCTGGAGGTCCTGCTGGCCCTGGCAGACAGCAACTCCGAGGGGAGGATCTGCTACCAGGACTTCGTCAACCTGGTGAGTGCTCTGGCTGGTAGAGCCTGTCAGTCCTTGGTTCTGCTTAAAGCATTGGCTGTTGAGGGACTGTCTCCCTCCTTCTCTCTCTCCCTTTCTTCCTCTATTGGCACTGGTGTTTGCTGTGTCCCTGCATCACACTCTGTATGGGTTTGCTGAAGCATTCAGTAGTGACTGAGCTCTCAAGCCAAGAGTCAAGTTGCTGCCGAGTTTTCCAGGGAAACAAGTTTGCATGGGAAGAAATGGCGGGAGCTGTTTGAAGACCAACATGAAGCAATGGCTGCTACTTGTTCAGAGGCTTTTGCTGTCAGTATCAGTTCATAGCTGTCGTAAGGCCCCATTTGTTTGCAAGCAGAGGTCTGTCAGTCTGGATGTCTCCTGTGTTATCTAGAGATTTCACCACTTCCAGACAAAAATATATAGATAACTTTGTGTTGACTTGCTGGGTGGAGTCATATTGCACTGCTGTAGGCATCAAGAGCAACAGGAATAAAGTGTTTCTAGGTCATGTTCATTTTATCCCAGGTGAGATGTCTCAGACTGCGTGAGTCATGAGCTGATGCTTCTATCTCTGCTAATGAGTCAATTAGTGAAAGGATCTTTCTGTTTCTTGTCAAGGCAGTTTGGCGAGTCAACACAGATGTAGACATGTATTGTTAGATGCTTAGGGTGGCCTAGAAATGCTGTTTGCAAGACAGGTATCTTGAACAGTGGACATTTCAGGGGCTTTGCCCTATTCTTGCTCTGGCATTCCACACCTGAATCCCAGCAGATTCAGTCCAGCAGTAAGAAAAACCTGTGTGACAAAGTCAGTGCCATCTCCAAGGTTTCACTGGAAAGCTGGATATGTTCTTGATGCAGAGTGTAATTACTTGCATCTCTCTGTTCTTGCAGTCAACATGGGGATTTGATCCTTCCATTTGTCATGGTCACTCACACATGTGGTTTGGGGATAGAAAGAAAGTGTCTTCCATATGTCCTGTCTTCACATGAATCAGAAAAGTGTGATAACAGGGCACTGCTGTCAAGGATCCAGGTCACAGCCTCACTTAGGCCATGGGCAGTGTGAAGGTGAAATTACTGTGATGCAGTGACACAGATCTGCTGTATCTAATCAAGCTGTCTTATTAGTCCCTTGCATGTGTTTAGGTACACAGCAAAACAGATGTAGCCACTATTAAGCAGATCACAACTACTGTGAGGTTTCCCTCAGCTTCAGCTTAATAAACAGTGTGGTCAAGGTATTTATAGTAACAGCTGCTTGTTCTACGGTTTGGTATACTCAAAGTACCATGCCAGCATTCACTAATTGAGCTGCACAACACTTAGCTAGCAGGAAGAGGTATCATCTAATTTTTTTTACAGAAATGATGGCCTAGGGCCAGCCAACGTGTTGGCAACAGGCTCAGGAACAGACCTGAGCTTTTTCCTCTCCTCTTTCCTTGCTCCATGAGCTGGGGAGCAGCACAAGCTGCAGAGGCAGGTGGGAGGTGGAAGGTTTGGGCATCCTCCTCGTTTGGGGAATAGGGGATGGTGCCAGCTCACACCCACCTGATGTGATTTCTGCAAAATGGCAAATTTCCTTCACTACTACTGAATGACTCCTGTAAAGAAGCCATTGATTTTTCTGTTCTTCTATCCTCATCTGCATATTTTTGCACTTTCTAATCGATAGGCAATGCTAATGCCAGAACATTAAACTACTTACAAATGGCATCTCCTGATTCCTCCTCTAGTTGCTATTGATTTTCAACATCCAAACTTTCTAGGGCTCCTTCTCTTTTCCCTAGTTTCCTGCTCCCAAACCTGCCTTTTGAGCTTCCCAATGGAAAGAAACAGAACAGTTGGCACAGAACCACTGCGGAATTAGTGATTTCCTTCACTTTATAGCTGTCAGTCCTGAAGCTATGTGTGGTGATGTTGAAGTGCATGCTTGTGCTTGATGATCATCAGCCATCTCTGCTTTTTGCTCAGGTTAAATTGTCTGTTTCCATAGCTTAGCAAGAATTGATCTGCTCCCAGAAATGATGGTGCTGGATGTGGGGAAGGGAAAGGCTGACCTTTTATGGAATCCACAGAGGTTTTTCGGGCATGGCTCTTTGTGTGTGTGTTTTCCTTTTCTCCATCAATATTCATGAACAAGTACTCTGACATGATCAGAGAATCTCATGGCCTCCCAAATGTGTTTAAGGTACTGAAACTTTGAGTGAGAGGTAAAATGGCATTAATAAAGCTCTGGCCACTGGAAAGGCCTTGAAGCAGGAGTGGGGTTGGGTATCAGAGATGCAATAGAACGCAGTCATAATGCAAAGCACAGAGCAGAGGTGTGGAAGGAAACAGACTCCTCTGTGTGTCTCACAAGCAGCTCTTTTGGTTGCTTTCCAAACACGGGGATGTAAGGAGCCTGTGAGCCGTCTGCTCAAGCTACTATGAAACAAATTAACTGTGTTCCAGCTAAAACCAGTACAAGCAGGCTCAGATTCGCAGAACCCAGCCCAGAGCAGGGTTTAAGCACTGGACATCAGGAGAAGTCTGGTCTTCAATGGTCAGTTCCTGAGATATGCTGTTCTCTCCGGCTTTTCTCACAGCTTTGCTAATGTTGATAAAAATTGAGCAGGGAGAGTCTGCTCTTTTTTCAGCCTTGTAGAACCCTTGATCTTTGATGGGTTCCCTGGAACATTGACATAATGTGATGCTATTTCTTCTGCAGGGTGCTACTTACTAGAGAGTCTGATGTTGAGAGATGCTATTTGTGACCACAGAAGCAGCTGTAACTCTGTGAAATTATTATTTCCAGAAGGCATTACAGGCCACAAACTGCACAGAGCAATAGTGTTAACACTTTGTTTCCTCCGAGTTACAGCATGTCCCAGAGAAGGCAGTAAAAAAATGCTCACCCCCATGTACTCCAACAGCATCAGGACCACCAAGAACACTCTCTGCTCTCTCAAACACTGTGATCCCCTAGCTAAACTAAAGGACTGCTTTATCCTCTGATGTCAAAAGTACGTTATAAACTTCTGGATGCACCAGAAATATAATTCTAGGATTTCTTACCTCAATCAGGAGACCTACACAAAACATATGTCTGTTCTCAGCAAAGCAACTGAAATTCCTGGAATGACAAATTTTACAGGATGAGAATGGATCCTAGAAATCTTTCAGTAAATAATTTAAGTAATGAATAAATTTAGGGAAGCTGAAGAGTCTTGGTGTGATCTGCAAACAGAAAGGGCTGAAAAAAAATCAGATATGTATGAGATTCCTTGCATGCAGTTGTAAAACACAATGCTGCAATCATATCCATTTCTGTTTGTACACTGGAGCTTGTAAGAATGGCAGAAAGCAGTTTCAGATGCTTATCCTGCGTCTGAAACAGTGCAGAATAATAAGTGTTTCCTGTACAAGTGGAGACATCTTGTGCATGTCTGTTGTCTGGTTGCTCTTCTGAGTGTGAAGAGACATGCTAAAAATGCACAGTGGAAATTCTGGCTCTGAACAGCATAAGCCACAGGAGGAGATAATGAACAAAGATGTTTAACTAACTTTGCTGCTTTTAGAGAGGAGGTGAGCCAGGAGGTGATATAGCCAAGATGTTATTTGCTGGGATCCTTGCTGAACAGCACTTGCTGCTGGCATTCTTGGACTGCTTCACATGATATCCTGTGAACTGTAACGGAGCTGAAGAGCAGACCAGTGATTCCCTGGAGAAACTCAGTTACCTGTTCTCTGGCTAAATGTTCCTTGTATTCTCTGCCTGAGAATGTGCGTTATTGCTTTGGACAGGCTGGATCTCCTTCCTCACCCTCTTGACAGACAATGTGAGTAGAAGTGAAGGGGTGCAATATTAGCTTCTAAGATGTTACTTTGCTTGATGGAGGGGGCAATATGGATCCAGTTCAGCTGTGGTGAGAGCTTATATTCTCTTGCTGTGAAAATCAGGTAGGGAACTTGCTCTGGACAAGGAAAAGTTTTACAGTACCTTGTGTTTAATAAAGCAACTTTTGCTAGAAAAGTAAATCACAGCTTATACTGAGACTAAAGCAAAATCCATTCCATCTTAAGACATTCTTCAATACTGCATGGCCGGAGGCCATTTGTTCTTATTAGCCACTTCAGTGATAGAAGCAAGGCTTGGTTCTGTCCCTTGTGAGGACACTGCATTTGCCTGCAGATATTTCATGGGTATACTTTCTGCTTTGAAAGGTAACTCTTGCCAGTGCTTGCAATGGTAACACTTTCGCTTGGAATACTGCCTCCAGCCTGGCTTGAGCTGAAATGAGGGGAGCAATGAAGCAAGAGCTGTAGCTACAGAGTGAGAACTTTTCAAAAGAGAAAATGTTGAGTTTTATCTTTTGGCTTTGTGAGTGTGTGTGTGACTGCACCAGGAGGGCTCTGTTCTCTTCATGAAGGTGAGCTTTAAGAAGTTACATAGTGTATTCTTGGAGGGGAGGGAGTCCCTTAAACCATGGTTTGCTTAATATTTTTTTAATGGTACTAGGAGGTACTTTGTAGCACAGCCATAAAGTAGCTATAAATTCCACTTGCATGTCCTTTATTGCACCAGCTGACAGCCTGCACAGAACGCTGAGGTGAACAGGGCTTTGTAGGAACTGGATATAATTCCTTATTACCTGAGCCACTGGAAAGATAAACAATAAAGCTGAAATCTCCAATCCTTGAAATCCCCAGGCAAGAGAAAAGTTTGCCCAAATGAATATCTCCTCTTTCTGGTAAATCCTTCTTCTAAATTTCTAGTGTTTTACTCTTCAAAGGCTATTGCAAAATAACCCAGAACCTCAGTTCTAGTAGTTTTGTCTGCTGGTTGTAGTTTTGTTCTCACTGTTTCTAATCTGGAAAGTCTTTGCAGGCAAAGCTGCAGGTTTTATGTGCTTCCAATTAGCTGTGCTGTTGAACCAGGGCAGATCCTCTGCCAAACATCAAGGGGACTCCCATCTAGAGTCCTCTGGGATGTCCTTCAGTTTCCAGTAGGACACCCCTTTAAGTGCTTCCTCTGTCCCTGATTCACTGTCTTGGCTGAAAGTGAAACTTGTGTCCTGAGCTCTCTTCCTGGCTTTTATTCAGAGGTATAATAATAAATATTTAATTTAAAAGGGCTTGGAAAACTTTTACTGCAGTATTTGATCTAATATTATCCTACTGTAAGGAGGAGGTTTTCTTAATAGAAGGAGTGCCCTTTTGATCATGTCCTTATCCATCTCTTGCCTCTCAGTGTGTTAAAGTGTATTGAAGTGCAAAGTTGTTACTCCAGGGAGCATTGCCAGGAGCTGCATACCCCTCCTGATAAATGTGCCTCACACTGCCTTCATGTTGTTCTCCTTCCCATTTTGGAAGAAACTGGTGATTTTTGACGTTCCAAGAGCCATGTGTATCTCTTGAGGGGAAAAAAAAAAGCTGTCAGAGGGCCAGATGAGTATCTTGGAATTTGATAACTGGGATGCAAGAGCTGATTTTTGGAGTGTGTTCAGCTAATACATTGATTCGAGTCCATTAGATACTGGCTACGTGTAGCAGCAGCAGAAGGAACTTTCTTCTGGGCGAACTAGTCTGGCAAATAATCCTTATGCCACTTAAAAGGGAACTTGGCATAGAAATTCCCATCCTTAACCGTGATTCCTCAGCTGTGTTCAGTCAAGTGCAGCTGAAACTTGAGAAGCATGATGTCAGCTGAAATGGTTATTTTGTGTGTGTGTCTAAAATACATACGAGTTGGAAATGCTATTAAGGTATTTAAAACAATGCTTCAGAAGATTAAATCTGGATTAATTTCAGTTGCAGAATCCTTCTCAGCACCAATAGAAAGTAGAATGTGTGTTGGGGGGTTTGAAGTTTCAAGCTTGCTGTGTTTTCACACAATGATATTTGAACCACAATGTTAATCTTGTCCTGCAAGCCGGGTTCTTGCAATTAACCTTGAAACCTGACTGTATTTTACCTTTTCTAATGGAAGAGCTGGAAGGTCTAAGCCTGGCACATGTAACAGAGAGGTCCAGACAAAACCTTGAGCAGGGAAAATCCCAGCCAGCAACCATCATAATTCATTTGATCTCTCCTGCCTCTAACTTTTCTCCAATCCCCAGAGTAAACCACTGCTTGGTCAGAACAAAACAGGATGTTGGTGTTTGCTTTTTGTTTTCCCATTTGATGCTGTTTGTTAAAAGTGCCACCAGGTTGGCTCGGAGGACATGAACATCTGTTGCAGATGAGCTCGATGCTGAGTTATGCATGTTATGAGGAGCTGTCTTTACCCACATTAGCATTTTGTAGAAGTGGGGAGCGAGGGAAGGAAATAAATGTGAATCTTGAAAGCAAAATTGATTGGAGAGGCTGCATTTGTGAGTAAAGTGGGTTATAAAACTGGAGCTGACAGAGGCTTTTAAAAAGCTTGTGCTAACTTCTGATTTAGTGTTCTGTGTCTTGGAAGATCAGAGCTGGAGAGCTGAACGTATTGCCTGTCACAGTGTTGTATGTGTTTAAAAATAGCTGTAGAGCATGCTCAAAGATGCCAGCATGTAATGGGCAGAAATCCATGTTTTTCAAAACCTCCTAAGTGACGCTGAATAAAAAACATAAAAAGGGTTATGTGCCCCACACAGGCCATGAAACTGGAGATGTGGAAATGCTACATGACTTACTTGGCTATTGATTATCTGAGGCAGCAACAGTAGTACAGATGGCCAAGAAACACAGAGAAACAGGCTTGCCAGTGGGAATGGACAGCTTCCATTGCAAGTTGCAGATTATCTGACACTAGTTCTATAGTGGTATCTGTGCTGAACAAAGGCAGGGCTTTGTACTTCACCAAAGTCTGGCACAGTCCCACTATATGGTAAGGACTCTTCTCCTAAAGTTTGACATTTTCAATGTTGAAGACAGGTTCAAATAATCTAAATAGGAAAAACTTTCCTTTCTGGCAGATGTATCAAACCCACCCTCAGAGCAGAGCTGTAGCAGTAAGCTTTGTTTTGTTTTGGTGTGGTAATACCAAAGGGCAGAGGTGGCTGCACATGGTTACCAGTCATGTCAGTTTGGCTGTTTTACAAGGGAAATTTCTTTCTCTCTGCATAATAACTTTTTGAAGGCACGAAAGACTGAGGGAATGTGTTATTCCCCAATGCTGCCTTGGCTCTCCACATACTGTTTGCTGTACCCATCTGCATGAAGTTTTAATATCATGCTCAATAAAGAAGTCCCAGATCAATTACATGAAGAGAAATGGGATGGACTGCCCTGAGCTTCTGGTGCTGCAATAATGTGCAGGCCAACAATGGGCCCAGTGTTCTTTCAGTTGATGATTAAATACTTGACACATAAATGCCAATATTGTGGAACTCTGAAATCCAGTCATTCAAACTGTGACCATACATGAGAGACTCTGTTTGGGAAGATTTGAGTCTTCCAAAGTCAGTCTGAGGAACAGAATAGTGTTCTCATCAAGAGCTGGTGACAGCAGCAGTAGTGACTTAATCCTCCATCTCTCTTCATGCATGGTACCTCCTATCTTTCTCAGCCTGTCTTCATACGGGAGGTGCTCCAGCCCCTGATCGTCCTCATGGTCTCCTCTGGACTTGATCCAACAGTTCCATGTCCTTCTTATGTTGAGGACACCAAAACCTCACACAGTGCTCCAAGTGGGGTCTCATGAGAGCAGAGGGGCAGGATCACCTCTTTTGACCTGCTGATTGTGCGCCTTTTGATGCAGCCCAGGATACGGTTGGCTTTCTGGGCTGCAAGTGCACACTGAAGCTGGCTCATGTTCAGTTTCTCATCAACCAGTACCCCCAGGTCCTTCTCTGCAGGGCTATCTGGATATCTCCGTATGTTCTGCAAGACTGGAGCAGTTCACAACCTGCTGCATTTAACTTGCAGGCAGTTTTCTTATTGCCTCTTTGCTAAAGAGCTGATGAATTTGGATACCCAGTAGATGCTCTATCCTGGGACAGGACTCCATCCTCCAGAACCTGACTTGAGAAAACTGGAAGAAAGATTTTTGTGGACAGATGTTTTTTTCCTTCTCTACCTTTTCTGCTTCTTTTGCCAGAAATTTTCTTTTACAAATGTTTTATCAATGCGCAAAGGAAACAAGAGAGCAAAGGAGAGATACCAAGGAGAGAGCTTTTAGGGTGAGCCTTTTTTCCTCACTAAAACAACTGAAAAAGATCAACACCAGATTTTTTCCCAGTGTTAAAAAAAATGGCAATGGATCAGTTGGTGTCAGTGTTGCTCACATTGGTGAATTTCTGCACTGGAAGGACAGGCTGCAAAGGGAAGGCTGAGGAGGGATGGGCAGCTGCTGGGAGAATGGGTCACAGTGCTGTCACCCTGCATGCCCCTCTGCCTTCCTCCAGTGATTAACAGGAGGTGGCTCCCTGCAGTGATTACTGTGTTTTAAGCAGCTTGGTCCAGCTTGGAACAATTACCCAGCTGCTGGGCACTGAGAGCACAAGCTCTGGGCTTTGCTGGCTTTGGGATATTGGCTGAAATCAGTGTGATCCAAGACAACTGTAAGGCAGTGCTGTTGGACGTCATCTCCTGTTTGGTTCTGGCAGGCTGAAGATGCCAGTGGTTTCCGAGATGAGTTATCAGCTCATTCAGAAGGAGGACCAGGCTGCTACGTTTGCTTTGCTGCCTTTTACTGTAAAAGGCACCCCTACAGTGGTCTTTCTGCATAGTAAGCCTTTTTAAACCTCCCTGCCAAGGATGCAGCCAGTGCAGCCAGTGACTCCGATGCAGCAGGTTTGTTTGTCATCAGGGCTAATTAGCAATTATCCCAATCTTGGAGCAAGCTCTCTCAGACCTGTTGTTCCCTCCCTGCCGCAGGCAAGGCAGAAAACCCCATCTGCCTGATTGGCAAATGCATTTCTTTAATTATGCATCCAAATTAAGAAAGTGTATGCTCAGAAAGAGACAGCTCATTCTATGCATGTAAGACGATAATGCACATACACATCGGCTGTATCCTCCAAAGCCTGCACCGTCCCAAAACCTGCCCCCTCTGAGGATAACTGTTTTAAAAGAAGAAATCCTTCCCTCTTGCAAGTTTACAGCAGGTAGGGCAGCCTGTACACCAGTTTAGTTTGTTGCTGTTGCTCATGCAGCTTTGTTTTACACAAAGGGATAATTTTCTTTGCCCAGAGCTAATTCCTGCCAACAAGGGTTAGATGCTGTGAGTGTACCTGCTGCTACATTCAATAAATTTTCTGCCCCAAGAGATGACAAGTGCAGGGAAGTGTTGTAGAGCAGGGGGAGCTGAGGGAAGGAGAATACAGGAGTGTGTGTGGATCATGATAACTGATGGTGAAGATAGTAGATGGAAGATTGGAGAATGGGCTACAGAGCTCAGCCAGGTGCATCAGCAGCCTCCTCTCTGTCCTAACTTCACTTATTGGCATCTTAATAGCAGACCCTGGTACTTGGTTTGCTTGCACCCCGTGTAGGTCACCCTGTAATCATCCTGATATGTGGTTCCTAAAGCACCAGCCCAGTGGTGGTTCTCCTGTCTGCCTGGATCTTTCAGTAATCTCCCAGGATGGTTGTGCCAGGCCTTGCTTTGTCCTCATGGTTTCTTCCTTTTCTTTTTACCCAGATGAGCAACAAAAGGTCGAACAGCTTCCGGCAAGCCATCCTGCAGGGGAACCGGAGGCTGTGCAGCAAGGCACTGCTGGAGGAGACAGGGCTGAGCCTTTCTCAGAGGCTCATCCGGCATGTTGCATATGAAACCTTGCCCCGAGAGATAGACCGCAAGTGGTACTATGACAGCTACACCTTCTGCCCTCCACCCTGGTTCATGATAACCATCACTATTGTAGAGGCAAGTACCTTCATGCAGTCTCTCTGGAAAACCACCTCATACTGCCAAAAGCTTTGCTGGGGCATGAACAAGGGCTGGATTGGGACTAATTTGGACTCAGACAAGGAGAAGCACAAAGCTGATGGCCATTTTGGCTTATCTGTATATGTGTGTAAGTGGAGACTGTGATCCTGTGTGTCTCCAAGGATGGTTATTAGTCACTGAAACGATTTGTATATGGAACTACAGAATTTGGGAAACTCTAACAAAACTTTCTGAGGAGTGAAAATCTGGACAGTTATAGGGAAACTGGTAATATAAGTAATGGAATTAGAAGAAAAATTCCTATATGGTTACCTCTGTTCTGTGAATGGAGAGAAAAAGGAGAGAAGAAAAACTGGATTAAATATTCTGACCTACTCATTTGTTGCCAAAATGAGATCTTTGCACAGCTGCTGGGTAATGCAGTCGAGCACAGAGAAGGGTATAATATGGCACTGATCAGTAGGGTGCCGAGTTCTTATGACTCAGTGGCTGGTGTGTTACAGAAAGTTTCATATAGAGTTATACCAATGTGTTGCAGATTCCTCAAACGGGGAACTTTCCTGCTGTGTGAAGCTGTCAAGTGGGAGAAAAATACTGTACATTTGATTTTTTTCTCCATGCTTTTGGGCTGCAAAGTAGTGCTTTTCAGTGAGAGAAGGCATTTCCTAACCCAGGAATCTCCCTGATTTTCTAGGTTGCCTTTTTTCTTTACAACGGAGTGGTATTAGACAGATTTGTGCTACAAGTCAGCCATCCCTTATACCTGAAGAATGCATTACTTTACCATCCTCAACTCCGTGCTCAGGCTTGGAGGTACCTAACCTACATATTCATGCATGCAGGGTGAGTACTTACAAACTGTAGAGATTCACCACAGCTCAGGTTCCCCAGAGAGAGGGAGGAGAAAGCAGCAGATTCAGCTCAGAAATAAATGTTTTAAAATCAATTCTGAATTGTATATAAAAGTCTAAAGCTCTTCTGGAGTGCTGGGCAATGAGGGGCAAACCTTCACAGCTCTCTGAAGGGAGGAGGCAGCATAAGGAACTTAACCGATGCTGCTCTTCTCCCTAGCAGTACTGGGACCACACCTTCCTCTTACTGTGCACTTTCCAGTGTGTGCTTCCTAAAACTCACCATGTCGAAGCCCAGTGTCCCTCCTGTGCAAGTGGTAGAATAAATCTGCAAAGAGGTTGGACTGGTATTTACACCTACATGGTGTATTGTTGCTAGGCTTCCTAGCTGAGGTTGGAAAAGTCAATTAAATTCCCTGTGCCTCTGATATGTCATCACTTGGTGATGTTGTCCCTTCTGTAGGGACTGAGATAATGCCTAGAAGCCCAAGTCAAGACTGAACTCCCGTTTTGTACACACTGCACCAACACCAGGGTTCCTGAAGAGCTGCCAATCTTGACTGACCAGATAGACAATGAATGGTCCATCTAATGCAAAATGCAAAATGAAAGTGCACAGTAAAATGAATCCTCCTTCTTTCCATGAGAGGTATGTAGCTGGCTTTGGAAGAGGAAATAAGGCATGGGGATTCTAACTGTGCTTCTCAACTGTGCTAGTCCTCCCAAGAGTCAGAGACTTAATTGTGTGATGTTTGTGATGCCATGGTGATGAGTGAGTGGCACAGGAAAGTTCATCCCTGTACAAAACACTCCACCCTCTGCGTGGTTTCTCAGATCATTATCTTCACACATTCCTGGCAGATAATTGCAATTTTCTTTAATTCTGTCATTGAAAAACCACAGAAACAAGCTTTCTAGCAGTAGTTTATAGTTTGAAACTGGATAAAGACCCTTTGTTCTGAAATAGAAAGCCTATATTCCCATCAGTCAATATTCTATGAAAGGCCAGAAAGATCACGCTGATCTTTTCCCTTTTCCATGTCTCTGATGGAAGACATGCTGATGTCTCTTCTCTGCCATGGAATAACTGCCTCAGTGTGTAATTGCCTTTGAGCACAAGATGTGCCCCAGATCTCTGACTAAAAACTGTAGGGCAGAACAGACTCCTCCCGAGGGGAGAGTAGGAAAAAAGTTACAGATGAAACTTCTGGAAGGGCAACATCTGTGCTTTGTGTGCTAAATCCGCCTCCAGAGTCCATTGTATATAGGTTTCAATCTGCCAGTAGAGACTATTGGGCTTAGATGTGAGACTGGTTAGGTAAAAAAGAATTGGAAATTTTCATCACTGAGGATGTGGGGAAAACTGGCTTGTAAAAGGATTAAACACTTCATTTTTAACTAAAGTTAGCTAATTTGTACCTGGGTTTTCTTCTGGTGATGGTGATGTTCTACTGTATCACTTGGGTAACTGCAGATCGCTTTGGGATACATCTGAAGAGGAGCACCTGCATGAGGACAATTTGTTCAGCATTTAATGTTTTCCTGTATCATTGTGGCCTGCTTTCCTAACCTGGGCAACCTTCATCACCCTTTCCTTTCCTGTGGTAGGCAGTACTCTGGCATTCTTCACACTTACTGCCTGAAAAATAGCTCATGTTTATTTCACATCTGTGGCAGGCTCAGAGATGACCAGTGGGGAAGGTGGTGTGCAGGAGACTCACTGTCTTTGTGATGGATTCCAAGTTCTTTAGCTATGTAGCTTTCAGAACAATGGAGAGTCCTGCTGGAACAATAAAGCTCATGATTTATCTGCAGTATCTGGAGTTAATGTTAAATGTTCATTTAATGCTAACTTCTCTGTATTAAGCTGCTTTCATATCAAGAGAACAGATAAATCTTGGAAAGGTAATAACATTTGTTTGTGGAAGCCCATCATTCTCCTCTTGTTTTCAAATGAAAGGCTAACACAATGCCATGGGCTCTATTGTTATCCTGCTTCCAGCTGAGACATTAAAATGGTAATGTGGAATGCGCCTTAATTTAGTGCATTGGGTCTGGGTTTCAAAGAGCAAGTGACAGCCAGAAGGCGTCCAAGAAGACAGCAGTTGCTAAGGCTTGGCTGGCTGTGCCTCTAGGAAGATGCCAGAAATGCCTGGGCTGTGTGTTGGTCCTGATGCAGGGAGCTTTGTCCAGGGCTGAAAAGGCAAAGTTGTAAATTCTGCCCTTCTGCTTTCATGGAAAGCAGACGTTGACTATCTGGGGCCCAGGCATTTGTAACACTGCCATAACTAATGACTTGCATTGATGCTCAGTCCCATTTGTTTGGTCCCAGGGAAGGAGAAAGTCTTTAATAAATCAATGAAATTGTCATTTCAAGAATGACGCATTCAGCACTGGCAAAGGCTAATTATATTTTATGGGTGCTCATCGACTGTGGAGCCTTCAGAGCTTTTAGTGTGATGGGGAGGAGAAGTGAATGGGATTGCTCCTGCAAAGTCTTTTAAGAAGAGCTGTGAATCAGAGCAGTCACTTCAGAGTCTGGGACAAACTTTGCCAAGTTCTTACAAAAGGTTCCCATGAAAAAACAAGACCCGGTGCTTTGTGTGAAAGTGTCAGATGCCACCTTGTTGACTATGTGCCAGCCAAAGCTTCTGCCCTCCCCTCTGTGAAAGGGCACTTGGATGCTTTGACTCTTCTGTGATCTCAGTTTGACCTTTGCTGCTTGTTCCTAAGTGCTGTGAACATGCAGGATCAGAACAAGTGCCAGAATATGCCCATGCCTGGTGGCTTCAAGTCTTGAGCAAAGCAATAAAAAGCCCCTCAGTTACATGCAGCAGTTTCCCATAATGACACATTGAAGTGCTGAGTGGCTCGTGCAGGGGAGAAATTTATCCTTGGAGAGTCATTCAGTGAGAACAAACCTATTAAGCTCTGCAGAAAGGAGTGTTTCCTGCTGTATCATTTCCAGCAGTTCTTTCCGGTCCAACTTTAAAATCTCATTTACAAGACTGTTCTGTCATTACTGCGTCTCACCATCAGTATTTTTCTCTGATAGTGTTTATCTCTGATGTATATGGGAAATTGCTATGGTAACATGAAGTAAGATCAAAACAGTGAAAATCCATATACCTTAAACCAAAGATTGCTGGTGGCTGGCTGTGAGCAATTCTTTTCTTGTATAAAGGGGGATGTAGATTTAAAAGTGCATTAGCTACTTTGCACTCTTTACCCCAAAAGATGCCCCTTCTCTGTTAAGGGTATCACTCTGTCATTTAGGTCCCCTACTTTGTAAGCAGACTCAGGCACTCTTCATACAGAACAGTCTACCACACTGGGTCCAGTGTGACCTTGTCATTCAGCAAGGTCACAGCCCTGGGGGCCCAGGGTATATCTCAGACACTAGCACAATGTTGAGAAGGGCACTGTTCAGCAGCCTGGTGCTTTTGTCACCTCACTGGAAGATCCTGTAGATAGCAAAAGCACAGGTAAATATTTGTACAGAACTTTGAAAAGTAGCAGGACAGTTTTGTTAAGTTAAGTTTTGTTTATTAGAGCAACAAAGATCTTGTTTTCAAACTATTGATTCAGCACAGGAGAAAACTGCTGCACTGGAGTCTGCACAAATATGCTTAGATTTAATCTTAGCTGTCACACTCTACCTCTAGGCTGCAAGTGGTCCTGCACAATGTGCACAGTGGGGTTTTCTACAGGTCCAGTCTCAGCTCAGCTTTCTGCATTGTGGCCCTCTGCTCCCCATTCTGACCATGACCACACTGAAGCAGGCACATCAGAAAAGGGTTGTGGTCAGGCAGCACAAACAGTAAAGCAGCATTATGTGTCACAAGGAAATGGCAGCTGTCTTGGATATTAGGTTTATCTTTGCTCTTGACTTAATATCTGTTCCCTATCATAGCAGCGCAATATGTTCAGGGAAAGGCTGTGTTATTAGGAGGGGAGAAGGGAGGACCAGGTCAAGTTCTGGGCTTCTGTTCCAGGCTCTGCTGCCATCTTGCTGCTTTTGTGGACAAATCATTTGATTTCTTCAAACAACAACAAAAATAAAATAAAAATTAAAAAAAAATAAAAGTAAAAAAAGAAGTCTCACTAAGGCTTAAACTTGCTGTGAGGTCTTTGTCTGAATGGACCTGGATGGATGTGAAAGACAATGAGCAGCAAGGAGGGAAGAAACATTGCAGCTCTCAGTCTGATTTTTTTCAGGTTTTACCCAGTGTTATAATCTACTTCCATGAAGCAGGTGCTCATTGATTTCCTTTCCAAGATACCTTTGTCTCGAGGCTCGAGAAGAGAGACAAAAGAGTTTAGCAAAGAGGACAACTGTTGTTTTTCCTTGCCACAGGATAGAACACCTTGGACTCAACGTTGTCCTCCAGCTCTTGGTTGGAGTTCCCCTGGAAATGGTGCATGGAGCTGCACGAATCAGTTTTGTGTACGTTGCTGGAGTTGTGGCAGGTAGGTGACACTTCTGGGTGGCCCAGATGGAGAAGTAATCTGAAAATGGTCTTTTGTGTAGGAAATGTTTTGTGACATTTGGGTGCAGAAGAGGAGCAGTCCACTGATCTGTGTGTTGAAATTGTTTTGGAGGCTGGAAGTGGGAAATATGCTACAGCTTTCTGCAGCCTGAGTAAGCAAGAAGTATTTGGTTGTAGGTTGTGAGCAGTGCGCAGGAATCTGGAAATTAATATAATCATAAACCATGGGCTTTGATTGAATTTTAGGTTGTGCTGTATTGCTTTTATTTGTGTTTGGCATTTCCAGCAGTTTGGAGGTGATGGAGGTTAGCTGACAATAGATCAACATCTAATTAAAACAGGAGGAGGGTGTGAGAACAATCAACAGCTTCACAGGGGAACTCTGACAACAACTGACTGCCTTAGTTAAAGATTTATGGTGGTTTTTTTTCCAGCTACATAATTTTATCATTTTCCATAATGAGCAGATAAAGCCTTTGTAAAATGGGCAGCATCAGGTACTAATAAATCCTACATTCCAGAAGAGACACTGCAGAAAGAATAATTAGACTAGGACACAGGACTAGGGATGGTACAAGCACAACACTATTTAATGCAGAGAAAGGAGTTAGCAGACCAGCTCCACCATCTAGCTTGTTATTTTAGTAAGCACTAACTAAAGTGGTCCCCAGTCTGCAGCTTTCGAGACAAACTTTTCTACACAGATCCACCTACCAACCTGAGGCTTCATTTGTATACATGTAAATACACATAGCGCATCTGTGCAAGGTATGGTGAGCACTGAATCTGCTGCACTTGAGCCCAGGTGGGCACTGTGAGTTGCCTGTGGCCGTGGTTCACAGAGGCAGAGGCAGCTTTTGCTAAGGGTTAGGCTGGGCTGAATGCCCAGAGCTCTGGAAGTTTGTAGCCAGTGCCTGAATGAGGCTCACTAGCCCACCCACCACTACTGGTTCATTTATGCTATACAAATGACCCCATTTTTTTCTCAGACAAGCTGCCACATCCTCACAGATTAGCCTTTCATGCCTTATAATCTATAAATTGTGGAAGAAAGTGCCAATGGAAAGGGAAAACTTCCTTTCTTAATGGAGGTTGGAACTACAAATATGACCAGACAGTCCCACACAGAAAAGCATCCCATGATACACTTACCTGTTTGAGTTGTTAGGCAATTATTAAACATGCTTTGTCCTTTGACATGTGTCAGAAGAGGCATACTTATGCTGAGGATCTGTCAGTGTAAAGATAACACAGCTCCTAAACAATCAGGAAGAAGCAGTAAAATGTTGACATGGGTCACAATGGCCACTCCCTGCTTTTATGCATTTAATTTCATTTATCTGGCTTTACTAAGACACATTGAGGCTGAGATTGCAAGACTCAGTGCAGTGTCTGAGGACTTAACTCCAAGTTCTCATTACTTCTTTCTTAACTTCTCATTAATTTTTTCCTTAGAGGCAGTGTTTAAGAGCTGAGAAGTCTTAGGGCCATAAAGCAAAGGAGGGAGCTATGAGCAGAGCTGGCTGGTAGAACCTCAGCACTTTTCTTGACCCAGAATCTGTTTCTCCTTCCTGCTTATCGCTAAGACCTTCATTCTCCCTACCTTGTCTGCCTTTGTCTATCTCTTAAATTACTCTTCAGGTTTGCAATGAAAGGAGCTTTAGCATATCCCAGCCTCCAACTGGGATAAGGAGAAGCAGTGTCTATGTTTGGACTATAGTTTTGTGGGGCCTTTATGTGATTGACCTGTCATTTGCTATCTTGTGTTTACTGCCTCCACCCAGGTTATTTGTAGCTAGTTTTACTCTAAAGTTTCATACCTAACAGGCTGTGCTTTGATCAGAGGCCTGTGCCAAGTAACAAGTTCTTTCTCACAGTGCAAATATTTGTCTTGCCAGCTGGGAGCTAGTTGTATTTTATCATCAGGTGAGGAACAAGATATAGACATCTGTCTCCTGCTTCTTAGTTGTTTTAACCAGGGTGTGAGTGCTTTTCTGCAGTATAGGTTTGAAAATGCTACCTTGCTTGGCTGCTTTTAAAGTAGGTGCAGAAGAATCAGTGACTGTCTTGGCAGTTTTACAGGATTGAATTAGCTCCACAAGCCAATTGATTTCCCCCCTCCTTCTCTTTCAGAGACCTGCAGCAATTAGCACTAAACTGGCAGTAGCACGGATGTAGAGCAGGAGAAAGTGTGTTTATTTGTCTGACAGTTGTCACAAGCCCTTGTTCCTTCTCCCAGGGTCCCTGGCAGTGTCAGTAGCTGATATGACTGCGCCTGTGGTGGGCTCCTCTGGAGGCGTGTATGCTCTTGTCTCAGCCCACTTGGCCAACATAGTCATGGTGAGTACCAGAATGTCTGTCTAACCTCTTCAGAAGTGAGCCGTGTCTGGTGGCCCAAAGGGTTTGGCAGTAGAGCCTGACCCAGCTGTTGGTCATTCAGAGCTTGCCCCAGTTAAGAGTCTTCTCAGTGGTGTGGTCCTGGGTTGGAAATGTTACACTGCAGTTGGTGGCTTGGTACCCTGATGACTGGTAGCTTGCCAGAAGCCAAAGATGCTGGTAGCCCAAGACTTAGCAGCTATCATCTCTACTTGCAGAGGCTGACAAAACGTTGCCAGAGGTCCTGTTATTTCACTACTCACTGGTCTCCTCCAAATCTACTTAGCAATTGCTACCCTAGCACCTATATTTCTTCATTATCTGCTGCCTCTCTTCTCATCTGAAATTACTTCTACTGCCTTTCCATTCTGGTGGAGTTTTTGCTTTTCTTTCCCCCTCTTCTCTCTCGCTGCTTCCTTAGTCTCTAGATGTGCTGTTCCCTCATGCTGAAAGACATGCTGGCCATTTGCTGGTAGAGCACAGTCCTGAGCAGGTGCTTTGAGCACGCTGGGAAGACACAAGACTGTTGAAGGAGGGTCCCTTGAATCTTCTCTTCCCTTGTGCCTCCTGGTACCCAAAGGAATGAAAACATTCCTCCTTTTAAAAAGAAATCTTGGAGATCAGGAGGGCAGAGGAGAGGCGGCCGTGAAGGGAGCTCATGAGGGGCGAGGAGGGGCGGCCATTAAGCAAGATCATGAGGGGCAGCCATGATGGAAGATCATAAGTGGACAGGAGAGGTGGCCATGAGAGGAGGTCCTGAGGGAAAATGAGGGACGGCCATGAGGGGAGATCATGATGGCATAGGAGGGGCATCCATGAGAGATCATGAGGGGAGAGGAGCGGCGGCCATGAGGGGAGATCATGAGAGGGGAGGAGGGCCGTCCATTAGGGAAGATCATGAAGAGAGAGGAGGGGCAGCCATGAAGGAAGATCCTGAGGGGAGAGAAGCGGCAGCCATGAGGGGAGATCATGAGAGGACAGGAGGGTCAGCCATGAAGTGCGGCCATAAGGGAAGATGACAGGCGGCCATGAAGTGCAGCCATGAGGGAAGATGAGGGGAGGCCATGAGGAAAGATCATGAGGGGAGAGGAGTGGCGGCCATGAGGGGAGATCATGAGAGGACTGGAGGGGCGGCCATGAGGTGCGGCCATGAGGGAAGATGAGGGGTGGCCATGAGGGAAGATCATGAGGGAAAATGAGTGACAGCCATGAGTGGACATCATGATGGCATAGGAGTGCTGTCCATGAGAGAAGATCATGAGGGGAGAGGAGGGGCAGCCATGAGGGAAGATCAGGAGGGGAGAGGAGGGGCAGCCGTGAGGGGTGATCATGAGGAAAGTTGAGTGACGGCCATGAGGGGATATCATGAGTGGAGAGGAGGGGCAGCCATAAGGGGTGATCATGGGGAGAACTGAGTGACGGCCATGAGGGGATATCATGAGTGGAGAGGAGGAGTGGCCGTGAGCGAAGATCATGAGGGGAGATGAGGGACAGCCATGAGGGAAGATGATGAAGGGAGAGGAGAGGGTGGACGGCTGTGAGGGGAGGGAAGATCATGAGGGAAGATGAGAGGCAGCCATGAACTGGATCCAAATAAAATCTATTCCTATCGTTGTGGAACTGCTCCTTTCAGCACGATGCCCATAGCCACAGCTCTCACCAGAACAGCAGGACTTGAGGGTGGCCATGGACTGTAGCTTAATTCCTTCTCAGAAATGCAAGAAAGGTTGACAGAACTTATGGCCACACTTTTCACTGCAGTGTGGACATACAGTAAAAGGCAGCACAGTGCCAGCAGTGAAATCAAGAGCACACAGCTTCTACTCCTGGCATAGCACAACAGGTTGCCTGCAATAAGGGGAAAAGCTTGACTGGGTGGGAGACAGCAGAGCCTTTTTGAATCTGAGCCGAGACTGCAAAATGAGCTCCCTCCGGACCTGGGAGCCATGATCCACTCCATTCATTTCTGGTCCCAGAGCAGTGAGGTTGATTTTTAAATCTTGCCTCATGCAAGATAGGTAAATATGTATTTAAGTAAATATATATATTTTTTAAGAGATACCCACCAGAACATGACACTCCGTGCACTCATTTCTTCCCCTGGAGATAGAATGGGAAAATGAACAACAGGAAGGACGTGAAACCAATAGCAGTATATTGGAAAAAGCTCAGATACTGGTACAGTTTGTCTGGGATATACTGAGTAGATGTGAATCCCTTTGGTCTTGCTCATTCTCCTGCTCTGCAGTGCATATGATAGCATGGAAGGTCTGGTTTGCTCTCTGATGTCACGTTTAGGGTATGTCAGGATGCTGATGGTGTGCACCATTGCTGGACCTTCAGTGGCATGGCTAGGAAAGAAAGGACAGGTTAGATGGGGCTTTGGGCAACCTGCTCTAGTGGAAGGTGTCCCTGCCTGTGGCAGGGGGTTGGAACTGGATGAGCTTTAAGGTCCTTTCCAACCTAAACCATTCTGTGATTCTGTGAATTAAATACATAAAATAACCAATGGGGAAGCAATAAAGTGTGTCACCCAAAGGAAAAGAGTGAGGGGAGAACTTCAGAATAGTTACATGGAAATGAAAACTGATGGAAGCAGCACAGCATTAATCAGCATGAGTTCAGAGCCTTCTGACTGGGTTAGGTGTCTCTGTGGAGAGAGAAAATGAGTTACTTATTTTGTAGATATTGCATTTTTGCAGTCACAGAAGTGATTTACAGACAGATCCCACATAAAACTTGAAGATATGTAATATGTATTGCAGAATATTCAGCAGGCTGAAAGTCACTGGGTGCCATTAAAGTTTACAAGCATTTTTTTATTCCTTCAGTGTGATGAGCAGGGAGTTTTTCACAAGCAGCTTAGCTAGCTTGCTATCTCACACCACCTCCAACAGGCAGCATTTCACTTAAACACTTAATAATTATAGTGTGTATAATAATACCTCTGAGTTCCCCAGGACACGATCTCTATTTCCCGTTTGGAAATCTGTGCAAGTGGAAAAGGAGGAATTTAAACATTTCTCCCATGGTTTCTGACTATCATTCAGAGATTCTTATTCCACTGTATAGGTTAACGGCCAAGCCTGAAGGCAGAGGAGGCCAAATCCATGCTTTCTTATGGCACTGTTCCCTTAGTATGCTTTTATTGAGGTCTTTATTATTTGTGTGTTTCTGCTGCATAGCTGAGTTGCAGAATTTCAGGGAGCCTGAGGTACAGGCAGTAGCCCTGGAAAAGCACAGCAGGTCTTGAATGCACTGAGGAATTGCCTGACAGGGACAATGTTGTGCCTCCACATGAATCATGATGAGCTGTGCCACTTCTTGACATAATTTTATTTGATGCAGTCTAATTCAACAGGGTTTTGCAGGGTAGGTAAATTCAGGTATTTTCAGAAGTCAGACTTTAGGGTGAAACATTATGCTAACATTTTAAAAATGAGTCTTTCTGAAGAATAGAGAATGGTAAGGCCAGCCAAGGACCATGCCACACAGTTGGATGTCAGGCAAGGAAAGTCAGTAAGACTGCCAGGAAAAGAAGCTCTGGACTGTCCATAACTTGGTCATATCTGCAATATATCCATTATGGTTATGTCCTCTGGCGTTGACAGATCTGTGCTTGGTGTGGTGACTGGAGAGTTCACAGCCAGGTGACAAAGGCTGTGAAAGGGGTTTGTTTCAGGAATGGTTATCCTTGATGCTCTTCCACTGTAGTTCTGGATATAAAACTCCTCCAGGTTTGCATGCAGCATCACATTGTTTCCCTTGTCTCTTTTCCAGAACTGGTCAGGAATGAAGTGCCAGTTCAAACTGCTGCGCATGGCTGTTGCCTTGATCTGTAGTAAGTATCATGCAATACTTGGCACACACACAATCCTGGTTTGTTTGTCCTTGTCAGAAGAGTTCATGCTGATTCAGAGGGGTTTGACTTTTGCAGCAGTTTTGATAGGAACCAGCAGCTGGACCTTCTGAGAGCAGAAACTACAACACTCTCAAATGCAGGTTTGGGCTTTCAACGCAAGCATTTGTAAATGAGGATTTGTTGTTAGCCAACAACTGTTGCTTGTGGCATTTGGGAAGCTCTGGGACATAAACGGTCTTATCTTTGAATCTGCAAACAAGGAGTACTTTTGCAATGATAATACCTAGGTTTCCTAGAGCACTTCACAAATGGGATGGCAACAGAATGTGTGTATAATGCATCTTGCCAATTGTCTTCGAAGTCTTAACTTATTTTTTTTGTGGTTTCGTGTAAATTATGGAAGGGGACTATTCCCCCTCCTGTCTACACTCCCACAAACCCAGACCTCATGTGCATGCACCACAATCCTTACATAGCCATAGCTTCCCAGCTTCCCTATGCTCACCATACAGGTCAGTTTCTCCCTCTCCATCTCTTCAGGGATGCAGTGCTGTCTGCAAGATGGGGTGGACCTAGATAATTAATTGCTTTTTCCTTCTTTCTTCCAGTGAGTTTTGAATTTGGAAGAGCTGTGTGGCTGCGATTCCACCCCTCTGCTTACCCCCCATGCCCACACCCCAGCTTCATGGCTCACCTGGGAGGGGTGATGGTTGGAATCACCCTTGGTGTCATCATCCTGAGGAACTATGAGCAGAGACTCCAAGATCAGACTTTATGGTGGATCTTCCTTTCTATTTATGTCATTTTTGTCTTGTTTGCCATCTTCTGGAACATTTTTGCCTACAGCCTATTGGATCTAAAGCTACCTCCCCCTCCTTGATAACATGGGACAGAAACTTGAGAACAGAAGTCATCTGTCAGCTATGTTAAGTGAATGAAGATGGAGGATCTATTTTTATATTTAACTTAGGGGAGGATGATTCTTTCGAACACAGGTGTGTGCTGGAGGAGATGCTTGAAGATCTCATGAAAGAATGGGCTGGTCAGTTTGTTCACAAGTCTAGCAGGTACTGTAAAACTGGCTGGCCTGGCCCTGCTCCACTGGCAGGGCTCCCATAGGGCAGCTTACACCTGGGCACTGAGCACTTGGTTTGTTAGCACACATCAGGATTTTGTACAAGATATTTGTATTTTCCAGGTCAGTGCTGGAATTACGGCCAGTGGTTGAAGGAATCTCCTCAATGTTACTGAACACTAAAAGGGAAGCAAGCAGACATTTGCTCATGAGAGACTCGCATTGTACCCACAAGGCTGTTTGGGTTTGGTTTCTGTGGACACATTTGACGGTTCAGCCATACCAGTGCCACTGTCTAATTACTTGAATGCTTTCTAAGATATTTTAGCCTATGGTGAAACCTGTATTATGCACCTTTCAAAGGAATCAGCAGAACTCAATCACCCAAAGTGATGGAGACTGATCTTCAACTACAGGTCAAATGAAATTGCACTATAAACCTTGGGAATCTTAGAGTGTTGTGGACACCCAGCCAGAGGTGACTTTTGCTGTGCATGTTTCACCTGATTTTAATTCATTATCCCCCCTCCCCAGCCTGCTGTGGCAGAGGGTGTAGTTGGGGGTTCTGTTTTGGGATGGAGCAAAAGGAGGGCAAATGTTCAATTGTGTTTTTATCAGCTGACAATCAGGTGCTGTTTTCTTCTCACTTTATTCCTGGACACATTGATCTAACACCTAGCCTGCAGTGAGCTCCTAGCAAGGATCTCAACTCTTCCAGCAGGCTCTTACTAGAAAAGTGGGACCAGAATCACCTATAGCAGTGCAGGGTAGGAACAAGCTAGTCTTTACAGCCATACAGTCTATTTGGGACCATACCTGTCCACGTAAGTCACTGGAGTTACATCAGGTTGTGCGTACCACTGGTTTCCCACTGAAGTGGACAGGGTGTTACTGTGTTGCAGTGATTATTGTGAAATTGATAAAAGCGGTTCAGGGGCTCCAGGCAACAGTTAGTTGCAATGATGCCTTTTTCTTTAACTTTGGCCAAGCCAGGTTTTAGCAATCTGTGTCTGGTCTGTAGCACAGCCCGGATTGCCTGCCCGGATCTGAGGATCAGACCGGAACTTCCATGGCACAAACAGTGCTTGTAGGGACTCTTCTCTGTAAGGTGCTTATGTTATTTTTCATCTCACTTTAGAGAGCTGCCAAACTACAGTCCAGGACTGTGGATGCCCTCCTTTTCTCTCCCATTTACCCACCTAGTTCAATGGCCTGGATAAAACAGCCATAGGAGTCTCTCTAGACTAGTTTCTCTCTTCCTTTTTGCTGTTTGCATACTGGTGCCCAGGCACCAGCCACCAGAGCCTTCCACAGCATATCTCACAGGCACTGTAGCAGTTGCATTTGCTCTGTAGCAAAATGTCTCTGTATCATGGGCTTTATTCTCTCAGTTGTGCAATGAGTGCTGCCAGATATCACAAACTAGGAGGAACCTCCTTCTAGAGGGGGCATTCACAAGTGTTTGTCAGCTGCCCCCTTTTTTGCCTCTTACTGGAGAAATATCTCTGGTCTGGAAGGTTGAAGTTCTGCTCCCAGGGTATGCATAGTACAACTCCTGTTGCCCTGGGGGAAGTAAGGGGGCAGAAAATAAGTATTTCTACAGCCTGGAATAAGCCTTACCTGCAAAAGAAACCTTTGTGCACAGGAATGGGATCTCTGAGGGCAATCGCACCTTTGCTGTAGTACTACAGTGTTCATGGGTCATCAGATCAAGGAACAAGAGGAGGCCATAAGGGTCACAGTTCTGTTTGTTTTGGGGAAAGGGGTTGGTTCCTGTGCCATTTCATCTCTGCAGTTTGCGTCCAGATCAAAGCAGTCATGAGAGTTTACATGTGCATCATTTCAGGTGCTGGCCCTGTGAGTCCTGTAGCAGTGGAAATCATCTCCCTGGGGAGCAGCAGGCAAGCAGGAGAGCTAGGACAATATTGACAGGAGCATGGTTAACGTGTAAGGAGGACATTCCTTTCCTCACCTGTTGCTAAGCCTTCTGGCTACAAATGCCTTTAAAACAGATGTGAGCAGAAATGGGAATTCTTTGGAAGTTTGGGGAAAACTTTGAAAATGTTGGTAGAAAATTTCTATTACAACAAATCCCAGAGTATTTTACCTGTAATCAACCAGTGTGCAGTATACACCAATTGACTTGTATTTTTGGTTTCTCATCTGAAAGCTACTTGGTGCCCAGCAGTTTCTCCTCCATAAAGATTTCTCTTCCTGGCAGTGGTGTGCTCTAGGGTGAAGCAGCAAGCTACAAGTTCAAGGGCCACCAGCTTCTTTATCAGCCTGACTTTGGCCAACGTACCTTTGCCTCTGCTCAGGAGTAGGAGAGAGCTGAGCAGGGTAATCCAGGCACCATTTTTTATTTCTCTATCCATAGATGAACATAGTTAGCATGAACTGGTTGAAAACAGCTCTGAGGTTGAGCTTACAACTTGTTCTTTTAAACTGCTGTTCATCTTTCTGACTTCAATTCTGTGTCCCTATATCCTATCTGAGCAAGTCTACAAGCAGCCCTGGGGATCAGAAAGGCCAGACTTCAAAGCAGTGTTAGATGTATTGTGGGTGAAGATATGAAACCCTCTCACATTCCTGCTCATCAGAGCTGAATTCCCCCCCCCTCCCCCCATAGAGCAAGTTGTACACAGAGCCTGTTGTCTGCTAAGAACCTATCAGCTCAAGGAGTCAGGAGCAGCACAAAGTGCTTAAGCTTTTATAATTTTCTTTCTTTCATCACTAAGATGACACTGTGAAAACTTGATATGTTTTTACAGAGTATCAGGTAATCCAGTTATGTTGTTTTCTAATGCACTTGGAGTGCCATGGTGCTGCAGCACCAGAGAGCTAATAGCAGCCAGGCTTTTCCTTTACCTCCAGATGTCCTTGAAGCTGCTGGCTTATATCAGAGACGTAATATTCTCCATCCTGCTCATTTGTGGTTCCAACTTGTCTCAGTCAACAACTTGTTCCTGAAGGAGCCGTCCACTGAGGGTCTGGTTTTGGTGATTCTTTTGGTCTTATTTCAGCTGCTGCCAGGATTTTACATCAGTCAGAGAAAATGTGAATCTATTGAACCTTACGGATGTGCAGTGCTAGAACAGAAGGCAAGGACTGTTACCGACAGATGGATTTGAACAGTGCACGTTAGAGGAAGTTATTTTATGCTTGCGTCCTTGAGTGAGGACACACCTGTGCTGGACTTCCCTTTTAGTAAGAATATTGCAGCCCTGGTTCAGGATGAGTGCAGGGAGCAGTAGAGCAGACTGGGAGAGCCGGGGTGCTGGCTGTGGAGCTCCTTCAGGGACATCTGCCGGCAGCGCGGCACAGCACAGCACAAGACGGGGCTTGCAATTGCACTTTTGGTTCCTAGATGCTTGGAGTCAGGCAGAGATTAATTTTGCACACATTGGTAAGGAGGAGGGGGAGGCTTGGAGTGATGGGAAAGGAAGTTACCAGAAACCATCTCTGAATGAGGTATAGAGGAGCTGTAAAATGCTGATGAATTTACTTTTGAGTTTACTTGGAATTCTTAGAACAACAACTCACTCTTTTCCCATCAGTCCCATGAGGAGTCCCATCAGTCCCATGAGAAATCTTAGCACTTAGGTGGCATACTGTGGTTCTTCACTACTTGCTTCTTTAGCAGTAGGAAGTATTTTATCAATGGGAGAGGGGGAAGCCAGAGAAATTATTATTGTCTGAGGTTGCTAGACTAGAAATAAAGCAGAGAGATTCCCAGGACCTTGCTCCTTCTGATGGGTTATACTGCCCAGATGAGATAGTTTCAATTTGAATTGGGCTATGAAGGGTGGAATCTGACACATTTAGAGCTGGTGCTAAAATGACAGCTGTCTGCTGACCTCACAAGACTACTGCTGTTTTGTGCCAATATTTAGTCTCACAGGATGGTGGGTAGGACTTTCACACACACTTCAGTGGGACTTTCACACCTACTTCAGTGAGTAAAGAGCTCAAAGTCTGTTTACATAGATCCAAGCTCAGCTCAACTGCTTTGGAAACCCCACCCACTGGCTTTACCCAAAGTGGAACTGGAGGATATGGATGTAGTTCAACACCGGCAACCTCTGGAGGTAAGCTGGGATCTGGAGAGCAAAGGCGAGCACCTCTGGGGTTTCAGCCTCTTTGAATATTGCTGCTGTTGTGTTTCTTTTATAGCAGTGGCTGCTCTGCAGTGCTCTGTGATACGACTCAAAAATTTCTTCCGCAATCACTGATGCTGAGAGCTGGTTATAAAGGAAAACAGTGCATTTTTCAGCTCTATAAAGAAAGAATCACATATAAGGCAGAAACCAAGCTTGGTTAAAGGTAAATGTGTTTTTAATTTCACCATTGATCATTGGCTTTTAATTGGAAAAAGCTTTCTAATGAGGTATTTCTGAAATGCCAGTAGTAATACAGAAAAAATTATGTTTCAGGGTACTTTACACCACAAAGCACAAAATATTCCCTAGGCCTGATTTAAGAAGCAAAAGTACCTTAAATTTCCAGTAAGTTTAATAGATAGGTTAGTCACTGACTGTCTTCTGACTCCCCCACAGTGTCTGTTTAGTTTGCAAATAAAGCTAGATTTATGCAGCTTTTCTTCTGCTTACACTATAATGCTACCGACACAGCCAAGTGTTAAACACAGAGCACTAAGCAATGTAATTTTCTGCCTTAAAATACTGAAGAAATGATACTTTCCCGTTAAGGGCTAGTAAAACAAAATGATATTTGCAAGGTAAGAGGCTATGGTATGTTTCCAAATATTTTTGTATCGTGCACATTCTGTATATTTTTGTTGTAACAATATTATTTGAGCGCAGAATCCATTAAATTTTTTTGCTGGTGTTTTTTTTTGTTTGTTTGTTTTCTGTTTCTTTTTTTCTTGTTTTATATAAAATGGAGCTGTTCTATGTGCCAAAACCCAACCAGGAAGCATTTCAAAGACAAATTTGTATGCTTGTCTACACTTAACTCAGTATTTAACAGAAGAGTGATTGGTTTCAAGCTTTGCAATGTAATCTTTTAATAATGGCATTGATAATTCTTTTTTATGTATTTCTAAAAGTATTTGTCTAAAAGATGAAGGGTAGGGTGGGCTGCTGCTTTATTTCTCCATGAGATACAACAAGGATAACTGGCTTGGGACCTGTATAGAAACTGAGGTCTTTCTCGCCATTTGATAACTGCTGTGTTAGTGCAGTAGTGACCTCAGAACTGTAGGGAAGTTGGTGACCAAGTACATTAGACTGTTTAAAATGCTTTCTTGGGGTGGAGGGTTGTTCTTTTTTTAACATCAGTCTCTACTGAATGTCTTTAAATCTCAGGGCCAACACTGAGATTCTTGTCTCTTTAATCAGCAGTGGGACTAAGATATCCAGGAAGTTCTGCAGCAAACCTCCAACTGATTCAGTTATTTTGAGATAACTGAAGTAAAAATCCTTCCATTAGCATGGAATGGGAGGCTTATTTTGAAAAATCTGTTGTGTTTTTGTTGGCAAACATTGGGTTAGAATTAAACTTAAAGAAATGAAGATGCAGCTAGCAGTAGTTGCTGTCAGATTTGTTTCTCCTAAGGGGAGGTAGATCATTGCTACCTCATGTGGGACTCAGCTCTTGATGTTAGTTTTCTGCACTTACCTGAGCTTCCAGACACTTAAACTTCTTTATTCACTAGTTGAGGACTTTCAGCAAGAAGGTAAAGTGGGTTTGTGGGGTTTTGGCAGTTAAAACAGGATGTGTTACTGTCTGCTAGCACTATAACTTTTTCTTGCTGGCTAAAATAACTTTAGAAAGGACATAAATACTGTCAATTCGAGGATCTCTGTGGCAGAAGAGGAGCCGAAAGCTTGAATCCTTGATACTCATCCTTGATCACACAGACTCATAAAAGACACTATCATTTTATTCCTGTAGCTCAAATCATATTCTGTATCGTAAACATTGCTCATAAATGTTGGAAAGTGAAATACTGATTAGTTTGTACATGCTACTGCTCTTGGGAGCAAAGAGGGGAGAAACCTCCAAACACAAACCAGCTCCTGCTCTTTCAAACTGCAAGAGGTCTGTAGGAGTCAAATCTAAGCTTGCATTCCTAGGGCTGGGGAGGGTTGGGTTTGGTTGGGTTTGAGTGTTTTGAGCGTTTTTGTTTGTTCATTTGTTTGTTGGTGTTTTTGTTTTTCTGTTGTTCCCCCCTCAAGGGTTTTAAATCAGACCCTTAGATGTACAGTACAAATCTTTCAGGCTTGCAAATTAAGTGCACATCTCAGCATCTTGTGTCCTTTTGTGTGCTTCATCCTGAGCTTTGAATAGCTGATTGCAGGAGGAAGTGTGTAATACTCTCCAGGTATTCATGCAGCTAAACCAGCTGCTTCTGCATTATTTATTATGCTTTTCTTTAATTTCCTTTGGTTTTGTTTTTGAAAGTAGAATTTGTAATGGGATGATGCCAGTAAAAACCTGCAACTTCATGAACTACTAGGGTGTATTTCAGTGTGTGTGTGTACCTGTGAGCTTCTTGAGTTTAGTAGTCAGGTAACTGAATGGCAAAGTCCCTGCAGAGCTGGCAGAAGTGAGATGATGTTTAAACAAAGGCTGCAGAAAGAAAGAAGTTACGTTTTTCATAATGCCAGCCATGTGCAGTGCTGAGAAAATTCAGGATAAAGAACTTGCAACAGAGAAAGCTGACCGAAGCTGCCCACATGTAATGAAGTACAAATTCAGTGGGACTGACACTGAGCAATGCACTACCTTGGAGAGGAGAAGCTGCAACAAGACTAAGCAAAGTTTTACAGTTATGGTTGAAAATACCTGGATTTTGATGAGTGATTTATGATCATTTACCTAGCAAACAAAACAAATCTTATTTAAGTGAGTGTAGTACAGGTCACAGGATAATTCAGGTTGTAAAGAACCTCAGATGATTTCTAGTCCAACATCCTGCTCGGGACAGGGTCAGCTGTGAGAAGATAGTGCAGGTTGATCAGCACTTCAGCCAGTTTATTCTTGAAAAATTCCAGGGATTTAAGACTGGGCAAAGCAATAGTGGCTGCATCTCAGGAGCAGTTTGTCACCACAGCATTGCTCTCTGTAAATACGAAGTTCAGCATAGAACACTGGGTCCCAAGCAGCTCTGGCCTCACCCTCCACCCAGCATAGGACAGGACTAGTGCAACCATTTCCTATACTCCTACCAGATCATAGCTACCTGTTCTTCAACCCAACTTCTCTTTTGTTGTGTTTATTTTAGCACTGAGCTCTTCCCTAAGCTCCTGAACAGACCAACTACTACAGTCAGTGCTCCAACTTTGTTAAAAACGTCTAAGACCAATAAATGAGACACGTTTTCTTGAGCAGCGCTGCTATACAGACTTATGCATAAAGTAGTCTCAAGGAAAAAAAATGTTACTTCACAGAGCTCCTACAAATAAGGGGGTTTGTTTTCTTTCAAACTACGTTTGTGTTTTTCTCTGACTTGCCCATATATGTCATGTGTCACCTCAGCTGTCACTGACAGTAGCAGCTCCTCTGCATTGTGTGAATAAAGGGTTTTAAACAGGAGACATCAAGGTCAATACTAATTTATAATATAATGTAGGCACACTATTGAGGATTTTAATGTGGTTTATTGTAAACCTTATTATAGGTTCAAGACAGGGGTGTCACAGGAAAGCACTCAACTTCTGTCATCACAGCATAGAGCACTGGCAGAACAGTCAAACTGCATGAGCAGGACTGTTCCTGCTTGAGGGAGAGTTGTCCAAATGTCTGAAGTCAGGCGTTCAAACACCTTCTACTACAAAGGAAAGCAATGGAGAGTTTTGCTTCTACGACGTCTGCAGAAATAGTCCTTGTTTACGTGGTCACTCAGAGGCCTCAGGAATTCTGATTCCAGCTGTAGCCAAAGACTTCCTTCAAGTATTCTGCTGCCTACATGTCCTATGATGTAGGTAAGAATTCATTGCTGAAATACAGTGAAATGTTTTAAAGTCTGAATAATTCATGCGGCAACTTAGTTTACTTGAGTTCCTGAAGAAGTTTCGATTGATATAAAGTTAATATTTGATCTGTAAAATGTTCAGGGTTAATTCTCCACAATTGAAAAACATGTATTTATATTTATGCACAATGAGTACTGAGAACACACAAAGGTGGTCTTGATCACAACAGAAATGAGTGAAGAAGGGGATTCATCAAACAGCCTGGGGATTTAACGTATCTGGCCAGTGTATGTATACATACATACACACACAGACTCCTAAAGCTCTGTTCAGTCTTAAGGCAGTTCTGTTTCATACCAGTTAACAACTCGTATATCTACTGCCAGCAGAACAAGCTGCCAATTTGAAAGTAGAATATTGAAACCAGCCACAGACTTGTTACCTGTGTTCTTTTACATAAACAAGTATGATTAATTCATTTTGTAAGATTTATCCAGATGTTTGTGCTTCTTTATATATTAAAACAAAAGTCCAGATCTTACTGATTAGACACAGTTTTAAAGATACTTAAAATACTTAAAATACCACAGTGCTTATCAGGTCAGGGATTGCT